TAGCACCAAAAAGACAGACTAAACTCATTCACTAGATATGACGTCATACGACATAGGTTCTACGTTAAGGTCAGACGACACGTTCCTCAAAGATATGTTTTGTACGCCTTGGTATTATATAAAAAATTATTCATTATTGTCATTCCCTTCTGATTTCTAAATTGTTTTCAATATGTTTTCAATAATAAGTACACAAAAATTGTGACATTGGCAATTCAAAAGATTATACAAATGGATTACATAAGAAATATCACCCTCTGGTATCCTGCCCAAATGCCTGGTAAGGTGCCTCAAATTTTGATGAGGAAACTATTTTAAGTAGCAATACTTCAATAATAAATTCTTGGGAAAAATCATAAATTTTAGAGGAAAGAGTCGTCTGACCTTAAATTTTAAGTGTTGATGTAGTTGAAAGCTATCCAACATTTTAAAATAGCAAATCATTTCATTTTGTGTTAATTTGAAGAACTGATATTTTTGTGTGATGTAAAAGTAATCATTTCTAGTATAATTAGACCCCGTCTCCTATTTGTAACCTTAACTGTGCTGCGTTTTTCGAAATTTAATTTCTACTCTTTGAAACCAAATATTGTTCAATGATTATGTTGTTTTACGTCCCTTGCAAGAATTATTTACTCCTATGAGACGGACAAGAACCTAATTAATATCTTTACGCGGTACTCAGGCTGTTTAGCAGTAAGAGTTCACTTACCTGACATAGAAACTCCCTTTTTTAGGTCTCATTCTAAAGACCCACAACATTTTGCCCAACACAAGGTTACAGTTCAGGTTACCTTGAACCTGATCTTTGGTTCGCTCACAAAAGTTCATAATAAGCACTTTAATCTTCGAAATTAAAAAAAAAAAATTCTTCATTTGTCTTCTTATGAGAAAACCTTTTTGATGAAATATATGGAGATAACGAACAGTATTCAAGCTCAAAAGTCCATTAAACATTACAAAATATGTGCAGAGCAAACACGGACCTCCAAAACATCAGAGGTGGGATCAGGTGCCATGGAGGTGTGAGCATCCCCCGCCGTGTGCTCCTTGTTATGATCGGGAAATAACGGAAAAATCCGTCGACAATTCGGCGTGTAAATAATGGCCTAACAATTAGTATGAAAAACGTCAGTCAGTATTTGACTCAATGATAATATGTATTTGCTGACAAGGTCATTGTATCGACCATAGAACAATTACGAAATGATGACTTTAAACGAGACTGCTGATATTCTTGTTTCATCAACTTGTTTGTCAATAATTTACCACGTTTTAGAAATTGTACATACGTAGAGCATGCTCTTGCGTATCGAATCAACAGAGAGATATAAACCCCGTATGCAGGTGATGAAGGTATATTGCTGCATAAGTAAGTGAAGTTGACAATTGAAAAGTTAAAATCATCATGTTTATCATAAAGCTTGGTTGTAAGATTACCATTAACATTTTTTCCAAGTAAAATATCCAAATATGAAACAGATGTGTCAGACTCTGTAGTATCTTTTATCTCAAGCTCACCAGGATATATCGTATCGACAAAGGAATGGAAATAACCATTGTTAATTGACAATACGTCGTCGATATATCTAAATGTCGAGTTGAAGGCCACAGCAAGTGTTTTCTTCTTATCACGTATAAGATTTTGGACAAATTCTGATTCATATGAATACAAAAAAGGTCTGCTAATATCGGGGCGCAATTGGTACCCATGGGAATTCCAATAGATTGTTGGAAGACCTGGTCTCCAAAAACCACATACATATTGTCAGTCTGAAACTCAAGCATCTTTTTAATGTCAACTTCAGAGTACTTGTGTGTACAATCAGAATGTTTTTTAACAAAATAATTTTGCAAATGACCAATGACAAGGTAAGTAAATTTGCTAGTTCCATTTTTATTGAAAAAGCAGCTGTTAATGATATAAAAAAGCCTGGATGTTAATTTATCGTGGGGAATGATTGTGTATAAAGTTGAAATGTCGTAAGTTTTGAAGCTGTTGATTTTGGTAAAATCTTGTGAATTCAAATTTTCCAAAGGTTCCTTAGAATTTTTAAGTATCCACATCTGATTTACACCACTTCTCGAATATATTGTTGCACAGTACTCTTGAAGTTTCCCCTTCACCACTGATAATATCTTAGTGAGGAGTAAAGAAAGAGGCTTGGTTGAACATTTACTGGAACCCGCTATGTATCTTTGTTTGTAATGATTTTTATGAAGTTTCGGAATCCAATATAGATATGGTAATTCAAATTCATTTTGGTTGTTTGAAATATTAAAAATATTCAAAACTGACATATGATTTTGAAGAATTTCTTCCTTAGAAAGAGAACGATGAGTATAAGTTGGATTACCACTTGTAGAATTAAATCCAAGTTCGTCTAAAGTACATGAAATATATGGAGATAACGAACAGTATTCAAGCTCAAAAGTCCATTAAACAATACAAAATAGGAGCAGAGCAAACACGGACCCCCAAACATCAGTAGTGGGATCAGGTGCCATGGAGGAGTGAGCATCCCCTGCCAACCGGTCACACCCGAATGTGTGCTCCTTATTTAATTTAATGAGCCTTACAAACAAAGACAATGTTGTTACCTGCTTTGTCAGCAAGAACCAGTACGTACTGATCACGTAATCTATCTAATTCTTTTTTCACTTCTGGATTATTGATAAATAGTAGCCTTACAGTCTACTTAACTGGTTCTTTGACCCTTTTTCATCAGTTCGGTTCAATTTAATTAATGAAATCAAAACGTTGGTACATGAGGCACAATGAACATATGTGCATATACAGGATATTAAAACGTTTACCATTTCAGTCAGCGAAAATGAGTTCGCTCTTCCCTACCTATAATGGATTCCTAAACTTCATATTAACTCCTTACAAACAAAGCTACTTGTTGGGTCCAGCAACTGCTCTACTTAGCCCCTTAAGTATATTTACTCTTCACAAAAATAATAAATGCTGTAAAGGAGAAACTTCAGACGTACTGTGTTACAGCATATTCGAAAAGTGGTGTAAATCAAATGTGGATTTCTAAAAAAAATTCCAGATTTTTTTTTTTGAAAATTAAAATCTCAAAAATTTTCAAAAGTCAGTAACATCAACACATATTACTTTTCGACACTTTATACAATCATTCCTCAGGATAAATTAAAAACTAGGCCTTTAATATTAAAGACAACAGCTTTTTTATATCTTGTGATAGATATACAAAATTACTTTGTACTCTGATTCTACACATAAGTAGTCGCCCGCGTGGCGCAGTGGTTAGAGCGTTTGCTCTAGAGTCGCGGAGTAAGGAGTTGATCCTTACGTCGCGAGTTCGAATTCCGCTGTGGGACGTGGAGACCGGTCCTTCGGATGAGACCGTATAAACCGAGGTCCCGTGTCGCAGTAGGTGCTGGCACAAAAAAGATCCCTCTCTGCCGAGTATAGGTCAAAATTTGCAGCTCTCTACCGGCAAGTGGTGGCGTCTCCATATGAGTGAAAAATTCTGAAGAGGGACGTTAAACAACAAATAAAGAAACAAACAAATCTACACATAAGTTCTCTGGCGTTGATATTTAAGAGATGCTGGAGTTCCTCATATACAATATCTATGTAGTCTTTGGAGACCAGGTCATCCAACAATCTGTTGCAATTCCTCTTGTCACTAATCATGCTCCCTTTTTAGCCGACCTGTTTTTTATATTCCCATGAAGCAGAATTTATTCAAGACTTCTACATGAGTAGACTAAAACACTGACGGTGGCTCTTAACACATTCAGATATATCGACGAGGTTTAACAATAAACAATAGTTACTTCAATTCATATGTCGACTTGATAAATTCTAGTGAACTCGAAATAAAAGACAACACATGTATATGGTCCTCCACATTTGTTTCATATTTAAATGTTTGACTATAGACGATAATGATCATCTAACAACTACACTGTAGGACAATTGATAGGACTTCAGCTTTTTCATCGTCTTCTTTCCTTATTTATGTATATATGTAATGCTATTCCACTATCATCTACATATGGTGTTTATTTCTCACAACCTATTTGAAACTCATAAGCATGCTCTGAATACGAACAATTTTTAAACAGATGCAAGTTACTGACAAATAATTTGATGTAACAGGGATTTCAACAACCTTGTTTTAAGTCAGCATTTCTTTAATCTATTATGACCTTGTAAAGAAATATAAGATACCATTTGGTCGTATTTAGTCTAATATATTTCATACCAATTGTTAGGCCTTTGTTTTTTTTTTTTTTATCGGAAATCTGACTATTCCGTTTACCTTAGCAATACATGGGCATCATGGTGGGTATGACGGTCGACAGAGGATGATTATTCCTCCCAGACATTTAGTCCCACCTCTGAAATGTCAAGGTGTCCGTATTTATGCCTTGTTCACAGATATCTATTGTTTATATGTTTTTGAGATTGATCGCTGTTATATATATATATATATATATATATATATATATATATATATATATATATATATATATATATATATATATACGTGTACCATAGGAATAAATCGTGAAAACCCCGAAATAATCGTTCCACATAAAAAATACCCCACTATACATTATAAGAGAGAAATGTATGCCACTCCGGTTTGTTTACGTTGTACCCCCACTGGTCTTTCTGGGTTTAAAAACAGGTATTTATTTTATTTTAACCTAAAATATCGGTTCACACTGTCTCTACATATATTTCTTAGTTCATGCTGTCGGATTGACTCTGCTCCTCGTAAGAATCCCACAATTTCTCCTTACACAGCATTGAAGTCGGTGCCTTGAGAAATCCTTAGGTAAATGCAACAAAAGTGCATAGACAATATATTACCTATTATGACAACGCCCGAGAGAGTTTGGCCTGACGTAATAATATCTCTATAAATATCTGACAAATATTGGCAGAAATATACCTTCATAATTATCAATCATAGAAGTCTAGAATCTTCTTTATTAAAATGTATATTTATTCTTTACGGTTTTGAACAGATAGCACAAACTAGTTCTCTTCCCTCAACATATGGTGGACATTTCAATGAACCACAACGGCCTTCTACAAAATAAAATAAGTAGCCATCTTTATTCGCATGACCACCGTGCAAAGTGTCAGGATTCTTGTCCATACACTTGTAAGTTGTACCAGCTGCATGACCAAAATGTCCAGCCATGAGATAGCCCTGGTACTCGAGGTTCCATCCTTTGAAACAGGTTTTTCTCGCTTTAATAAAACACAAACATAAAAAATATTAAAATTTGTCGAAAAAAAGAAATTGTGATTTTGGGAGGAAGAAAATAATGCGTGACTAGCTTTCCATCGGGCAAAAGTAAGGTTCTCTTCCGACTTAATTACAATTATTCAATAATATAATTAGAATAAAGCAGTGCAGGGTTGATTAATTTCTTTATATTCCGTTACAATCAAATTCAATCGCCAGGATAATGAAATAGGTATAACTGGATTAAAAGTAAGAAAAAATATAATGTCAACAACAAGAGTCGAGGTTGATGATTAAAATTTTTCCAAAATCTGGTAGAATCTGTATTCTGCGCAAAGGAAAAAAAAACAAGAATGTAATCTCTCTCTCTCTCTCTCTCTCTGCTGTAATCTGAATAATATGGGGACAAGAATATTTCCATGCACATACAACAGTATACAGACACAATAAGGATTAAATTATATTGCAAATCACACATTCTTTTTACTGTATTACTGATATTTATTTTCTCACCCGGAAATAATTTTACAACGGATCTATTTTGAACAAGGCACACAGCACAGGGTATGTCATGGTCAAGAAATGGAGAAAAGTGACTTGTAAATGCCTTTGTTTCGTACTCCGCTCCATATATATAAGCTCCGGCTCCGTTAGTTCCATCCCTGTACATCCCCCACTCGGGATCCCTTGGCAAACAAAGAGGATCTACAGCAGCTCCTTTGTCAGTATAATGTGATCCTCCAGCGAATCCTATAAAAAGTTTTAAATCCTTCATAAGCTGTAGATTTTATAAATCATCATTTCAGTAATTTCAGAATAATATAAATATTTTCAGTGAATATTATACATTTAATATGTACGTAGATATTAACCTATCTTTTCGTAATTATTTTACCCCTGCTGAATTAATAGAATGAATGGAATGCAATGTTTTAAAATTTCAAAATGTAAATATAATTCTTTACCAGAATAAACTAAGTTTGCGTTTGAGGGACAAATCTTCTTCCCCCATCTTGTGTATACAATGGCTCTGTTTCCTACATTTAAGATAAAAAGATTTCAATTTTCTTCATTATATTGAGAGCTAAATTTCCAAACTACACAAATAGTTACGTGGTCGTCGTATACCTTTATCTGGTTTGCTAGTGCTCACTTCTTCTTTGAACTTTTTCATAGATTTCTCAATGACGTCAGTGAAGCTTTTGAATTCCCGCCTTAAAGCTTCTACTTGATACGCTCCTAGAGCAGACGACAGCTGTCCTGATAGGTAACCCTGTAACATGTCTTTACAACTTCCGGTCTGTGTCTGTGCAGTGTGAAGAAGCAAAACTAGGACTAGAAAGAACTTCATCATCTGCGGAAAAAAAAACAACAATAAGGCATGAAACCGGTAACTGTCTAAATTACGCACTTATGTTTTTTTTTTCTTTTTTATTTATCTTAGAAGTGATAATTAACAATAATTTTTCTAATCCATAATGATGAAAATTAACTATTCTACAAATCGAAAATTCTACAAAAAAATATTCTATAAAGAATAATCATTCGTATGTAACTTGTGGGGCGCTCGCTTCGTGATCGAAAGGTACCGGATTTGATTCTAGTTCCTGTATTCCGCCTCAAACCTAAGACATAATCATATGTAATGAGTGTTCCTTCGCCAAGCCCCGGACACTAGAAGTGAAAGTCATGGGTCTTTCGGAGTAGACCTTAAAATCCTAGGTCCCATGTCATTGTAGGCGTTGGTACGATAAAGAACCCTCCCTCCTCCATGAACTCGAATGCCGTAACTTTGATTTTAAATACATTTCCTTACAGTCATGTTACCTTTGTTCCAAATGTTTCCTTTATAAAAAAAATGTGATTTCTCAACGATGTACCCGAGGTACACGCATATATATTTTTATATATTTTTACCAATCAAATCTCTAATTTTAAAACTGAAGATTAACATCTGATATCAACCTACACATTTTGTTGTCATAGTAAGACACGAAAAAGATAGATTTAAATGTAATTTGAAACCAATTTGAAGACTATTGAATTGTAGTTAGACATGTTAGAGGCATATTGTAGTATATAATGGCATTCCAGAATAACAATCAATCATATGAAATAACCAGGTGCAAATTATATATTGTAAGTTTGTCTAAATAAATACAGACATATAAAATCTAGATCACATCAGAATGTACAATAATACATTTTAACTTAATTTTTGATAGAAAGAAACTGCAAAATTGTATGGCATAATGTTTAATGGTGTTCCTGAAGTTTTTAGAATATGAAAATGAGGGGAAAAACAATATGTAAATGACTATTGAAATCATTGATAACTTTTAAACAAGGGCAAAATTTGTTGAAATCAAAGCGTACAATTTACATCGAATATGTGCAAATTCAAAAATATTTAGATATGCCATAAAGAAAATAATCTTCCTATTAATTTTAATGATTTTGACGAATGTGTAATGTATTTTGTATACATTTAAATGGAAAATATCGAGAGCATAATTGTGTAATATCTAATATATGAGTTTTCTTAGGACAATGTTTTTTTTTAAGATCGATCCTTGTTCGTTATCTTCATCTTTGTCATCCAAACTGCAAATTATTGCAGTATGAGTTTTATGGTTTTAAAATTTCCAAAAGGGCTGTTGCTAATGTGGAACAAAAAAAAACGGTCATTTTTTTGCAAGTAGTAATTGTTTACTCTGCATTTAACTCTAATATTGCATCGTGCGTGTCAGTTTGGGGTGAATTATGCTACAACTTACAATGTACAATAGCAAAACGTCAGTTTCTTTTTGTTAAGAACCAGCTTTTATTATATTCCTATAAAGAAGAATATTTATTTTGACCGTTCTTATGGTAAATATTTTTTACTAATGGATTGAAATGGATAAATTATTTACATGTATTTCTTCGATATTCATAACCAGTCACGGTAGCTTAGTCGGTAAAGGGCTCGCTCCGTGATCGGAAGGTCGTGTGTTCGAATCACGGCCGCAAGTGACCTAAGTTGATAAAAAAGGTAGCTATAGCAACTGTTCCTTCACCAAGCGCTCGGTATTTTGAAGTGAAAGTTGCGGGTCCTTCGGATGAGACTTTAAAAACAGAGGCCTCATGTCACTGTAGGAGTTTGCACGACAAAGAACCCTCACTGCTAAATGGTCCTGCGTTCCGAGTAAAGGTCTGAATTTAAAGCCCTTCACCGATATATGGTGTTCACGTCTCTATGTGAGTGAAAAATTCTCGAACGGGAGATAAAATAACATACAACGATCAATTAACAATCGATTTACATAAAGTAGTCTTCCAGAGAAGCTGACATAAAAATCAAATAATCATGGAAATTGTGGTAGAGGCATAAATTTTAACTTTATTTTCATTTTTTTTTTTTTTTTTTTTTTTTTTTTTTTTTTTTTTGTTGTAAGTAACACGACAAATTTCTGATTTTTGAATAAAAATAAAATCGTTATAAATTTCAACATTTTAATGATTATGGAAAAGTGATTATACGAAGATTGTCTCAGAAAAACGCGAACATTTTCAATATCTTTTGTTTCACTAAACACTATAAAGTTAAAAATTAGCATACACCATAATCACCATTTTTTGAATAATGCATGAACATTTCAATAAAATATCTCTATAAATAAAATTTTTCTCTCAGTAAACGAATCTCACAAAAATGCTGTTGGCGCAACGCCGACGACGTAAAAACGTAGCTCGTGAATTTATTATGGAATCGTGCGTCTGATAAAATTCGTTAGAAACAAAAATTCGACACTGTATTTAATTTTCTTTTAGTTACCAAGTTATCAATCTCGGTTATTAGCATTACCAAATGATCTTTTATTAAACTCTTGAATGAACTCCTAAAAGACATTAGAAATGCATCTGCAATAAATCAGTTTAAAAGTCTTATTAATAACTGGAATGGAGATTCCTGTAAATGTGGCTCCTGCAGATCTTAAATCTTAGATTTAAATTCGTTTTTTTTTTTTTTTAAATTTTCAGTTTTCTGTTTCTTTTGTTTAGTATGTTTGTTCATTACATGTATAATAAATAAATTTACCATAAAACTTAAGATATTAGAAAGTTTTACTTTTAATTCAGCGGAAGTGCTATCTCATATTTTATACAATAATATAAATTATAGACTATCCTTTTTAGAGTATAAGTGCTATTTTGACCGTTCACTCATATTATTTCTATGTATTATCCTATATGTAAATGCATGCTTCATGTGTTGTTTGTTGTTGTGTTTTTGTGTGTGTAATTTATGTCTCTTGTACTGCATGCCATTGAAATTTTAACCATGTTTATAAATGTGGATAAAGTAATTTTTGTATTCCAAGTATAAGTATATGTCTTCTTACTAATCATGTCGGTCGAAAGCTCTATAGAGCTTATGTTATTTGTTTGAAAATCCGACTTTAAATAAAATTTTCTGATTCTGAACATTCCTCATATCCTGGTAATAAGGAAAACTTCACAGACAATGCTATTTCTTAAACTCAATAAAATGCCGTTCGACGAACACCGGTATTTGATCCCCTCTAAATGTATTTTCATATCCATATGACACTAACATAAAAATTATTTTTCAAAATAACGAAAATATTATTTCCCAACAAAGTGCAAAAAATCTTAATTTCGGTTAAATAGTTTTTTAGATATCTATCTTCGATCCATTACGGCATACTCGCCTATTAGTCGGTCCGTTTATAAGCATGCTCTATACAGTGTCAATTCTCCTGGACTACTTTCCCTACGAATAATCAGTTGTAGCGTAACGTAATACTGGTCTGTCTGAAGCTTGGTTTATAAGTCGGTTGTATTTCTTCCGATTAATGCAGAAATATTAATCATTGACCCGCTTATAAGTCGGTGATATTTTGCTTGAATCTGTAGCCAATTTCAGATGAATAATCTATTGTATTTACCAGATTTTCAAAGTATATTTTGGGGCAAGACAGATATTTGATTTTATTGACAATTTCTTAACACTAGTGTTATAATTATGATTGTGGTAATCTTAGATCTTCATTTCCTGCATTAGAATAGTTCCGTTCTTTATAAACGATTGGTTACAATATTGCTATATTTCTTCAAGAGAAATTCCAAATTTATAAGTGGAACCTATACTTTTGGTTCAAAATTTAATTCCCCAAAATCCGACTTATAGGCGAGTATATACGGCATCTTCTTAGCACATGTATTTAAATTTCAGTATTTGTGATAGTTACAGAACTATAGCGTTATGTTTTATATTTTAGTCTCTGACCATGACGCTTCAGACCCCGTTATGAAAATAATGTGCAATTTACGGTGCAAGATTTTCTGCGCACGGTTTGGGAGAATTTCTCAACTTTCCAGCATTAATCAATCAATTACTTCTTACTTCCTCATTCTAGACACTTTTTAACAAATTTGTATATTTTGTCCATCTCCCAACCCTATGTAGTTATCTTTACAAACTAGCTTGTTTCAAATTTTCTGCCACCCGAAAAAAAGATATATATCATGCAAATTTAAGCATGCTACATTCGAAGAGAGTATGATTGTTCAATAGTTTTCTAAAAGCGGGGCTCTAATTGGCGACTAATTAAGTTGCAATGGCGCCTACAATTTCTCTAATAGTCGCCAAATGCCAAATTGACAATCATTTTAAATTGACTTGGTGATAATTAAATTACTGAACTATAAAAAAAATCATTTTTTTTTTTTTTTTTTTTTTTTTTTTTTTTTTGGATAAAGAGCAGAAAAGAAGTATAAAAGTTAGCTAACGTTCAAGTTTGCACTATCATCCCGAATGAAATTAACCCGATAAAATTAACTCAAAATCAGCAAATTTTGTCATTTTGATGCAGTTATCAAGGAGAAATCAATTTGCTTAATTAATAACTTAAATTATTTGAAAACATATTGCAGTAAAAATCTTTTTTTGATTGTAAAATTGAAATTGTTAAAAATATTTCTAGTCGGAATCATTTAATTTAGATCGGGTTAGGCTCCATTATTGCGATTTTTTTTACAATTTTTTTCCTGACATTTTCTAAATTATGAAGTAACCGGGTGGGAGTAAATATAAAATTTAGAACAGGATAGCTGTTGTTATGTTGTAATTTTGTATTTTTTCCAACTTAATAAATTCAAGATATATAACATAACATATTTATAAAATATGATTGTAAATTATTTCTTTTAAATTTCTGAAACACTTTTTCTGGAGATTAAACAAGATGTATTTTTGTGAAACACTGATGCCACGTATGGCAACTTATAGCGAAGGTTAAACCTTCTCAAAGACAAATCAAATAAGT